TAATAATAATAATAATAATAATAATAATAATAAAAGTAAAAATAAAAGTATTAATAATAATAATAACCTGTTTCTGGAAAAGAGTGTGGAAAAAATCGATGTAACTTTTTCTTTTTTAGAACACTAATATAATTGAGTAATTGAAAGGCATGGTATAATAAATGTGATTATTCTCCAAAATAACAGACGTATGGAAAAAGATATTATGACGCACGTTTTTCAACTGCTCAGTTTGAACTAATATTATTCACAAAAAGAAACTTAATCTTTTATGACGAACTATAACGTAACATATTATAAAACCTTTTTTTTTGGTACAGCTGTTTCTGGTCTGCTTTTTTTCGTGAAAAACTTTTAATTTTTTCCTTTAGCACTATATTTTTTTCTTCTTGATTCTTATTTGCCGACACAATTCTTCTGATCAATTTATTTATTTATTTATTTGTTTCTATTCTGTGCTATTTTCTGTCATCTCTTTAAGCATGATGGAGTGTGAGCGTTGGCTTCAAGCTCGAATCAACGACCTTCGCCGGCGGAGCGTACTTGATCAGGTAAGCAGGCATTTGTAACAGATGGGACCAACAGTTTTTGAACTGCTTGTTAATTAACCAAATATGAACCGTCACCTTTAGGCGAGGGTTTTGGTTGATCCTAGTTGTTGCTGCATTTTTTAGTTGTGGCAAAAATAAATGATTATTTTAACCAACAAACAAGTCACAGTAGGTGCAAAATAGCTTGAAAACAGATCTCTTAAAACAGTTGACATGATGAGTTTGTATTTTTAATGCTCTCACCTTAAACTGAATATATTGCAGAGTACAAATGTCAGGAAACTTCCGGAAAAGCTGCAAAAAAGCTTCACAGCATTCAATTCCAGTGAGTTGAACGTTCGTGGAGAATCTTTAATCTTGTCAGTTGTCAAATATGAGCCAGATAAAGTCAATCAGGTTAGGCACTTTACCCTTTATTTCAGTATTTGAAAAAGCGACTGCTACTTAGTTAGATTTTTGATGGTTATGCTGATATTCTCAAAAAACATCGTATTTCCGTTCTTCTTTTGGTTGTTCACTTTTCTTGGTTATAATTGTCTGGGAAAAGCTTAAACAAGTGAGCCTTACTTATTTTAAATTTATTTTAATTAACTACTGGTTTGAGTGATACCCGTAAAGCGCTGCCATGGCGGGTGTAATATGCAATAATTAGCACTGAGTAAAATGTGCCTATCTATAGCTACAATCCCATAAATGTTATTAGCCTTTATTTTTTTTAAAACAAAAATA